ACTGCCTCCGACGTCCGGATGGAACAGTTACTGCATCCCGAAGGGCAATGGAGAAAGTCATCCACGACTTCTACTCGGATCTCTTCGATAGCCATGTCCATCTGCCCACTTATCAACTGCAACAGGATGGATACGTCGTCCCCTCAGTTCTCTCTTCCGAAGTCCGACACGCCATCAAGTCGGTGAAGAATCGTACAGCACCCGGTCTCGACAGGGTCAAACCGGAACATCTGAAGAATGCGCCGCCAGTTATCATCAAAACTCTGGCTCGACTCTTCACGCGCTACCTGTCGGAATGCAAGGTACCCACTCCGTGGAAAACCAGCAGGACCGTGTTGCTGTACAAGAAGGGAGACTGGACGACATTGGCAACTATCGCCCAATCTGCCTGCTGTCTGTAATCTACAAGCTATTCACTCGAGTCATCCTTAACAGGATCGGCAGAATACTAGATGAAGGACAGCCATGCGAGCAAGCAGGGTTCCGAAGAGGGTTCAGCACGATCGACCATATCCACACGGTTACAAGACTCATTGAAGTTTCACGAGAGTACAAGATGCCGCTTTGTCTCACGTTCATCGACTTGAAGAAGGCCTTCGACTCTGTGGAGACAGAAGCGGTCATCGAAGCCTTGGGCAACCAGGGCGTCCCTACTCAGTACATCAAGATTCTTCGTGAGCTCTACAGCAACTTTACGACCAGAATCTCACCATTCTACAAGGAGGTCATCATCGACGTCAAGAGAGGGGTTCGACAGGGCGACACCATCTCGCCCAAACTCTTCAGCGCCGCTCTCGAGAACGTCATGCGTCAACTGGAATGGGAAGACATGGGAGTGAAGGTCGACGGCCGGCAACTACACCACCTTCGTTTTGCTGACGACATCGTTCTTATAACGCCGAACATCGAGCAAGCGGAGCGAATGCTGGCTGATTTCGACTGCGCCTGTGGTAAGGTTGGTCTACAGCTGAACCTAACGAAGACGATGTTTATGAGAAACGGATTGGTTCCTGATGCCCCATTCACGCTCAACGGAACGAACATCACCGAATGCTCCAGCTACGTGTACCTAGGTCGGGAAATCAATATGATGAACGATCTAGCTCCAGAGCTGAGCAGGAGGAAACGAGCGGCTTGGGGAGCGTATAAGAACATCGAGGGAGTAGTGAAGAAGACGAAGAACATCCGGCTCCGTGCCCACCTCTTCGATTCCGCTGTCCTTCCTGCCCTAACCTACGCCTCAGAGACTTGGACTCTGCGCAGGCAGGACGAGCATGCGGTCAGCGTTATCCAACGCGCTGTCGAGAGGACGATGCTAGGAGTAACCCTATACACGCAAGTGCAGAGGGGAATCCGGAGTGCCGAACTACGCCAACGATCGAAGATCAGGGACGCTGCCGTTTTCGCCAAGGAATCGAAGATAAGGTGGGCCGGACACGTCATGCGATTTTGCGATGACCGTTGGACCAGAGCGGTTACCGACTGGATCCCTCGGGACGTCAAACGAACACCTGGACGACCGCCGGCCCGATGGTCAGACTTCTTCACGAAAGCTCTGAACGAAAGGAATGAAGGACATCGTGTCCCTCGAGCGAGGAGGGTCCACTGGACAACTCTTGCACGCGACAGGGACGAATGGAGACGTTGCTGGCGCCCGCTCGAGCAATTCGATGATCAACGGGACGACAGGTGATACAGGTGAGTAGATCTTTCGTGTCCGCTGCGCGTACTTCCAGAGGGATCAGCTGATTGACTGATCGATCGAGAACTTTGTTATTTCCTGTTTTTATCCTTACTGATCGAACTGATCCATCGACTGATTCATTGATTTGTATTATGAGACCTAGTGGCCATTGCGACCTTTGTGTATTCTCCGTTTTGATGAGTACTACATCACCGACTTTTGGCATGTCTTTGGCACCTTGTCTGAGAGTTGATCTTTTTTGATTTCTTTCCGCAAGGTTCTGAAGGTATTCCTTCTGCCAATGGTTCCAGAATGTATTTAGGGTGTCCTGTAGTAGTACATACGAATTGATGATTTCTTCATGTGAGTCCGAGATTATTGATCGGTCACTTGAATTGAATGCTCCTGAGTTGGGAGGTGTGAAATAGGGGTTAATGAGGTCGATTGGCCGTAGTACAAATGAATCTTCCGTTGAGTCCGTGGTAACTGGAGTAATTGGCCTTGTGTTAAGTGTGGCCTCTATCTCTGACATGACTGTTTGAAGACTCCATAGATCTAGAGTTCGCCTGTGAATGGCTTTCTTCAAAGCTGCTTTCACTGATCCCACTAGCCTCTCGTAGAAGCCTCCTTTCCAAGGTGAAAGGGGTGTTATAAACTTCCATTCGAGGTTCTGTGAACTGGTGAACTGCTGGACTGCTGGGTATTCTCTCACAGCTTGTAGCTCGTTCACCAGAATTTCCTTTCCTATTTTGAAGGTAGGCGCGTTGTCGCTTAAGACCAAGGTTGGGCTTCCTCTACGTGCTATGAACCTTCGAAAGGCTAGGATGAATTGTGGTGCTGAGTTATCGGCTACAACCTCGAGATGCAGGGCACGGGTTGCCATGCATGTGAAGAGACATACCCAGACTTTTTTGTCCTGTCCGAATTCTTGGCGAACTGTGAGGGGTCCGAAGTAGTCTAGACCTGTGTTTTGGAATGGTCTACTCCGGACTACTCTCTGGCTTGGTAAGTCAGGAATGCGAGGATACGAGAAGGATCTTCCTTGGTGTCTTCTGCAAACTACACATCTTCTGATGACAGCGTTGACCACTCTCCGAACCCTCGGAATGAGGTAATGATTTCTGAGTTCGGATATGAGGTGTGAAACTCCGGCGTGGAATAGCTTCTGATGGAAGTCCGTGACGATCAGTCTGGTAAGCTGATGGTTCGGCAAAAGTAGAATTGGGTTCTTGGCTGTATCCAAGATCTCTGCATTTGCCATTCGAAGATCTCCACGGTAAATTCCATCGTCGCACATCGACACCTGGAGACGCTGGACTATGCGACCTTGCAGTTGAAGCACTTCTTCGCGGTAGTGTTCGCGAAGTAGAAGAATTTCTGCTGCTTTCCTGTCGCTTGTAGTGATCGTTTGCGTTTCCGACATCAAGGTGATGATCCTATGGCTGTTCTCCTCGGTTGACTCGCCTTTTCTGCCTTTCCGCCAGAGGATGGATATGTATTTTAGAACGTAAGAAGTTATTCTAACTAGATTTTCGTATGAACTAGTCTTAATGAATGGGATAAACGATTTATAAGTGTCAATGGATGTGTTTATTACGGACTTGAATTCTTCTTGCGCTTCCTTAGGTGGAATGGTTTTAGCGCTGAAGTCCATATCTGTGTTAGGCCATTTTGTAGGCTGGTTGAGTATGAAGCTAGGGCCGTGCCACCACATATGGCTTGATAGCTC